ATTCCTGCAGCCTGTCAATAGCAGGTTCATACAACATGCTTTTATTGCGCATAGGCTATATGCCCCCTGGGGATTGATGGGTGAACCATCAGATGCAATCCCAGCCTTCATGTAGCTTGTAGGCAGTGGGGCTCAGGAACAAAGGGATGGTCAGAGCAGGGAGATGGGGGATCCCTGGTAGGTCCCCAGGATGCTGGGGAGGGGTTTCAGGAAGGGTCCTAGAGCAGTCAGCCTCAGCCTGGCCCTCCCACTCCTGCCCCTGGGAGGCTGTCTAGGGGCTCAGGCCTCTCCTGATTGACTTTATGAACCTGTGGAGACCATTTGGTCTGCAGACACAAGACCTGAAATACTATTTGCTGTAGAGAGAGGACACTGAGTTCCATCGGGCGGCTCTGGGCTCACATTCAGTTACTGATTGATCCGCGTTGCAGGGAACCAGGACCAGAGAAGGCAACGTGCCCCTGGCCGCCTGCTAAGCCGGCCTGGGCACCTCCAATTTGCCAGGTGTGTCCTGTCGGCCTTCTTCCCTGGCCAAGCCTCTCTGCTCTTGCGACAGGAAGAAGCGAGTGTACACTTGTGGGTATGTGTGGTATGTTCCTTTTCTCTAAGGAAAAGCCACCCTGGGGCAAGGGGATTAGCTACAACTCCACCACTGCTTCCCCTCAGAAGTCACAGCCTCTTGACTTTCAAGATGAAGCTTAGAAATTTGTCTTGTGTTTGTTTTTTCTGAAACCAAGCCCAGAGACAGACAAGGACCTGCCCAAGGTCACACAGCAGGCCCAGGACAAAGCTTCTAGTGACGCTAGTTTCACCTTCCACAGTGTGGACTGTGTGGAGCCACAGCACTAACTGCTGCCCCAGCTTGGAACTTCTCCTCCTCTACCTCCCTCCTGCTGCACGCACCTGGGGGATTCCTTTGGGTGACACTACAGGAGCTCTTTGAGGAAGAACAGTGAGAATTTCTTTAAAAAGAGAACCAAGTTTAGGGATCTAGAGACAAATAGCCTCCACAAGAGACAGAAAGCCTCCTGGGGCTGAGGAGACTATGGGATGTCACTCACAGCAGAGCAGACAGCCCAGCAAGTTCTGGAAACTGCAAACCAGGGTTTGAGGAGCAGCAACTTCGGAAGGTGACTCACCCCAGTGCCTTCCAGGCACGAGACCCTCCCCAAGCCATCTCCCCTTGCCTCCTTGGGCTTCCGGTGGCAGGTGGAAGCCCTGGATGCTAAGGTTCAAAGTTCTAAACTCTTTCAAGCCCTCAAAGTCTACCGCAAACACACAATGGGGCTGGTCTGGGAGGCTCCTTGGGCAGCCAGAGCCTGGGAGGGGACACCAACACTGAGCCACGGGCTTCTTCCTGGGCTGGGACACTTGGCTGCTCCTGTTTCTCCCAGCTCAGCTACGGTCCCCCTAATGCCCCTGACTGGGGCTGCCCTGGCCCGATCTCTGAAGCCCAGGTCTGACATCTTCCCAGCTGCCATGGAAGCGTCGCGTGGACACCGTAATTGTCTCTGATCTCCCCTGGCCTGGCCAGGTGGCTGAAGAATGGGTCCCCAGGGAGGAGCAGGTTACCCTCCCCAAGAGGCCACAGCGGTACTGCAGTTCAGAGCTCAGCCGTCTGGGGCAGAGGATGGACAGGGAGGAGACGCATCTCCTGGTAGCAGCCCCATTCCCCAGGAGCGAAGAGGAGAAAGGAGGAGTGTGGACCTCAGGAAGATTCAACCCTCACTAAGTGGGTACCACCCCCCAACTGCCCAGGGTGCCCTCTCTTTTAACTAAAGTAGCCAGCGAGCTACTCAAGGCCAGTTCTTTGGGGCACCCTTCCTCGACCTGGGAGAGTTCAAGATTGCTGGGCAGGGGAAGGGTCTCCTTCAAGGTCCCAAGCCATTTAGAAAAGTTGGAGGCTCGTGCCGGTAGCACCTCACTCTGGACAGAATACCAGCCCCAGCCCCAGCCTCTGCCTGGCTGCTCTGATGAGCAAACCCAGTCCAGGAAGGAGAGGCTCTGCCCAGGCCTCCCAGCCAAGGATGTCATCCCAGTGCGGGCTTTTTGTTCTCACTGCGAGTCCCCCCGTCTATGGGATGGACAGAGGCTGGGTGAGAGTGGGCTGTGGATTATTTTTAAATCACTTCAATGTTTTATGAATTTAAAAAGCAAAGGCATCCCTCTGAGTGAATAGATGGAAGGCCAATAACACTTCTGGAAATTTCAGCTACTATGAATTGGATCAAAAAATGTTCATTCATTCATAGTTTGTGGTTTGAGCATGGGACAGGGCTAATCCTTTGCCCACCCAGGACTTTGTGTCCAGTTTTTGCTGAGAGTGTTGTAAGGAAGGCAGGCCAGGCAAAGGCCCTGTGGCCCCACTGCCCAACGCCAGCATTTTTGGGCCTTTGCTGTCCTGAGAAGCACTCTCTTGGGGGAGCTGGGATGACACAGATGGGGCAAGGCTGAGCTTTGTGCCCCTCAACAGAAAGCTCCCCTCCTCCACCCAGCCTGCCCACTTTGGCTTTCACCTTGATTGGCCTTGACTTTCAACTCCACATTGAAGTCACCTGGGAAAGTTTGAAAACCATGCTGCCCCGAGGATCCCATCAGAATCCACAGCTGGGGCTGCACCCGGCAACCCACCTCCTCTCCCCCCACCTCACAAGGGTCCCTGCTTGGTGTGTCCCTACCAGGGTCCTGATCAAGATGTTGACTCAAACTATAGGGTTCGAAGTTTCATGGCTGTCCCAGGCTTCGGGAAAGTGTAGATCATATATGGCTTCTGCTCTGGAAGGAGTGGGGCTCAAGATCCGGCAGCCAAGAATTACTATACAGCAGGGCAAGTACTGTCCCTGAGACAGGAGGCAGGCATGGGGTATACAGACAGAATGAAAAGAGCTCAGGGCTTTTCCAGGAAATCGGGGTGCATGGCAGACCATTCGGGTGCCCCCTCCTCCCTGGCAAAGACCCTTGGAAAGACTGTTTTGCAAAAAAGCCATTGGAGGGGATTCCGAGTAGGGCACTGGTTCCCTCTGGTGGTGATAGTGGGAATTGCACCCCAGACAGGGGCTGTGTCCCAGCTGTTTGATGGACAGTAATTCATTCTTGCTTCCTGACTTGGTTGTTCTTGTGACTCAATACAGGTTTGAATTGTGGAAAGTTCCAAAATAAAGTGAAAGTTCAGTGACTACAGATCATGTGACCTTCATGGAGAGGGAAGGAAAATGTTCCCAAGAGTCCTGGCCAGAGAGCAGGTCACAGACTCAGAATGTCCCCTGGGGCAGTGGTTCTCAGCCCTGGCTTCTCCTTAGGGCCACTAGGGAGCTTGCTAGGCCTCAGAATACGGGCCCGCCCCAAGCTTCATATCCAGCAGGCCTCTAGGGGATCCTGGGCATCTGGTGGTAAAAGGAGAGGGAGGAAGGCCTCAAGTCAGGCTGATCAGGAAGTGACCACCCAGGACTGGGTTCCTTTTCAGTGTTATAGGCTTAAATAGAATGTTCTAGAAATGACTCCTCTCCATTGCTCTGCTCTCTGGGTGGGTCCAGGCCTGGAATACCTCCTTTTCCCACTTGCCTTTGGCTATATGTGGGAAGCTTTGGGAGCCCACTTCCTCCTGAAAGCCCTCTTAACTGGACCTGCTGCATCTCCTACCCTCACACAGGTGCTCAGGTGTGGCCCTGTCTCCTGCATGGTAATACCGTATTTTATGTAATGGTGTGACTGTCACATTTAGTCATCAGTAAGCCAACATCAGAGACCTTGGTGCTGAGATGAGTAGCCAGGCTCTTCCCTTCATGGCTCCTGGGCTCCTCTGGAGACCCCCCCCCTACTCACCATTTAGACCTCTCTCTCTCTCCCCTTAGCTCTTCAGGTGCACAGGTGGGTGGTGGGGAGCCTTCCAAACCTGGGTGTCAGTGTGGCTGGAAGAGTCACTCTGGACAAAGTCACTGTCTCTCCTGGGGCCTCAGTGTCCTGTCCTGTAAATGAGGGTGTGTATATTTCGCTCTCTAAGGAGCAAGCCTTCTGTGATTCCATGAGGGCTGGTGGTCTTCAGGGCCTGGGAGCACTGGATGAGGACAAAGTTTAATTCCCAAGGACAGTAGTGGTCACCCTGCCCCTGGTCCCAAGAATAGCTTGTTCCATTTGAAGCCCAGCATGCCGCTGTCCTTGGTGCTACTGGTTCTGCCCATGCCCCCCCCCAGGCCCCCTAGGATGCTGGCAGATCCAGATGACGAATCAGACACCAGGGTGCCCTGATCCCACCATCCTTCCTGTATGAGGGGGGAGGGAGGGGGAGCTGGGCTCTGTCCTGAATGCAGACTCCCAGAAGGGGGCGCCCTGAACAGCCTGGGTGCAGCACTGGGGATGTAGGCACAAGTAGGTGAGGTTGTATGACACCTTACAGGCTGAGTCTGCCCTGAGTGGGTCCCTGAACCAATAAGGGCTGGAGCAAGCAGTTGCAGTGGGCTTACCCTTGCTGCCCACCCAGCCCCGGGCCCTGGATTGACGGACCCAGCACCCACACAGCTGGTGGGAGTGGGTGCAGCTGGGGTCTCCTGGCCCCACGAGCAGAAAGGTGTGGCCTGAGCTGAGCACAGGGTTGGTGGGGGGAGAAGGGAGAGTGCTGATGCCCAAGGTCAGGGGGAGCAGAGCTGCCTGCCTGGCACAGTGGTGCACTTGGGGGAAGGGCGGAGCACATGAATGTGGCACAAACAGCTCCAGCCTGGGCAGCCCGGGACATCTCCATAGTAATTCCCACACAGAAGCTTCCAGGCTTCCAAGAGCAGCACCCCGTGTCGGGCAGAGGCCTTAGCAGAACCCAAAAGACCCAGAGACTTTGAACCTATGGACTTTCGGACTTCGTCAGGCATTCAGGAGCTAGACTGAGGCTTCTGTCCCTAGGGATCCCGCTGGTCAGGGGCCAGCGGAGAGACGGGCCTGCAGAGGTCAACACTCAACTTGCTTTTGCAGGCAGGTGGGTGGCGGCAAGAGTCATTGAAAACCAAACCAAGACCAGGCTGCATTTGTACTCCATCTGGGAACAGGGGGCTGTGGTAGTTATGGGATGGAAGGGTGGGGGGAGGTGAGGGAAGAGGCGTGGGGGCAGCAGGAGGCAGGAGGCGGTGACACAGTCGCCCATGCAGGAATCACACCGAGCCTGGCGCTGGCAGTGCAGGGCCAAAGGTCAACAGCCCAGGGAAGATGGGGCATCCTTGGCCTCCTAGCCAGCCCCCTGGCCGTGATGGGCACAGCAGACCCTGCAAGGACACAGCAGCATTCAGGCAGGGAGGACGGTGGCAGAGGTCGGAGTCTTGTTTCCTCCTTGTCTGACTTAATGCTCTGTGGGGCCCCTCTGCAGTCTCTGCTTGTCACCTACTTCACGCCAGGCGTGTGGCGATCAAAAACAGGTGATGGAGACAGCCCACCTGGCTGCTCGGATGACCCTGAGATTCTTCCTGGGTTGTTGTGCCTGGCCCTGCCCTCCTCCCTTGGACCCCTCCCTGGCCACGCCCTGCCCGCCCCTCCTGTCCCTTGCAGACAGACATACAGACATACCTCTCGCTACAGCATGTCCTCACTGACTTGCCTGGGATGGGAGGAACAAAGACTCGGTCAGTGGGAGGTGCCTGAGCTGGGACCCCCCTCTCAAGACCTCAGAGACAGTTGTCCCTTCTTCCCCGGCTTGCCCCCCTCTGGGTTTCCCCAGGCATCACTCACCGAGGCTTCCTGTTGCCCCCACAGCGGAATCTTCTGCCTTGAAAAGAGAAAGGAGGATCTGTATTCGCTGACCTCTCCCTTCCCAAGGAGACCCTGGAAGACTTGGTTCTTCCAGTCTCCTCCCTCCCTCCTGCCAGCATGACCACAGTGTGGGGCTGGAAGACCACATTTGACTCTCTCTCTTTACAGGGGGCTGGACAATAAGCATTCAAGAGCCCCAGCCAGCCAGCCAAATATTTAGGCAGCCGATCTGTAGTGGACTGTGAGCCCGTCGAGCATGGCCCCTGAGACTGGGCCTTGTGGGTACTCCCAGCTCAATGCTGGGCACATAGTAGCTGCTCAGTACGTGCTTGGAGAAGGGTACCTGTAAGCCCAAAGCTGAGGTCCCTGCACAGGCCCATTGACCTCTGGCACCTGTGTGCTCAGCCACTACACAGTGCCACCCTGGAGGAGCTCCCATGGGGCGCAGTGGGGAGACCAGCTATTCCTGCAGACCGAGTCCTGTAGATGCAGTGACAGTGAGTGTGACTGTGCCAGCATTCTAGAACACAGAGGTGTGTCTGCTACACAAGGGGTCTCCTTTTCACTAATTATGCGTCTGATGTTTTTCTTTTGGTTGCAAAACAGGTCGACAAGCATTTATTAAGCACCTGCTGGGGATGGGAGAAATCCAGGCCTTTCTCACCCAGAATGCTCCATGTCCACACTGGACCCTTCTTAAAGCCCGTTCTTGATGCCATGTCTTTAGTGCAAGCCCTAATCTAGAGGCAGGTGGGAGGGATCATCCCTATTTAACAGATGAACAAACTGAGGTCCAGGGACTGGGGTCTGTGGAAGGTGACAGCAGCGCCCAGGGGTCTGGCTCCCAGCCACGCTTGCTTTCCAGCCGCGGGGTCAGACAAGAGACACCCCTGGGTTTGGTTGAATCCAGCTCTGCTCCTCATGAACAGCTGCACCTCTCTGGGTGGCCTGATTTTTCATGTGTCACATGCTGACAGTGGTGGCCTCCCTCAGTGGGGCTCAGATGATTAAATGGGCTGATATTCAGTTCACATCTAAGAGTGAGCACAAATCAGGGCAGGTGCGGGGCTCCCCTTGCCTGGCCCTCTCATTTCCGCTCCCCACCTCCCCCATCCCCGCCCCGCCGCAAGTTCCCTGCAGCTCCTCCAGGGCCCACTAGAGGGTGCACTTCCTTCCCAGTCCTGCAGGGCCAGCGGGCGGGGCTGGAGATTCACTCCGCCCTTGGGGACTTGGCAAGTCACTGTGCCCTAACCAGCGCCTCGCTTCCAACACAAGGCCACCGCACTTACTGAGTAGGATGATCAGTCCCACGACGAAGGCCAGGCCAGCGAAGATCAGGCCCCCGTTCCGGACAGTCTCATAGTCTCAGGAAAGAGAGGGCATGAGAGGCGACATGGGGTATGAGTCATCTCTAGGCAGCCCTCCCCGCCCCCCCCCCCCAGCAGCAGCCCCCTGGTGACTGGGGGCCGTCAGAAGGGGGATATGAAAGAGTCAGAGCTGGGGCCAGCTGCTGGGCCAGGAGGTGGGGGAGGGCAAGACTCCGGAAGGACCTGGAGGAGGGGTGGGTGGCCAGGCTTACCATAGTAGAATGGGTCCACGCCCCCCTTGGGGCTGCCACCTGAGGAGAGAGCCAGAGGTGGAATGAGGGGAAGGGAAGTCACAGGCGGAGATTGCAGTCCTCCACCTCCCAGCCAGACCCTGCTCTCCCAGCTAGCCCCCCAGGGTCCAGGGAAGCTGGGCAATAGGCCCTGGAAGGAGGAGGCCACAGGGGGCACCTGCCCTAGGCTGCCTGGGGACCCCAAGAGGGTCCATCCTGGGGGCCTTTCTAATTTCTGCCTCACACCCCAGTAAGGGAAGGCCAAGGAGCTGTTCCCTTGAGAGTCTCCAGCAGGATGTCTTCCCACCAATTGTCCACCACGTGCCCTTAGCAGACCTCTGTGCAATGAACCAATGAATAAAACTCAGCCTCTGAGTTCACGGAACAGAAGGTGGGAACTGGGGCCTAGTGGGAGGCTTGTGTGAAGTTCTAGGGAAGCTGGAGGCCGAACTGGGGCTTGACTCCTTTCTAGACTCTGCTTCCCTACATTACCATCCTCAGGGGTGAGCAAATTTACTTAAAAGACATTAATATAAAGAACTTACAGGTACCAGGCTAAAGTTAGCAGAACATTAACTTATTTACCCAGAGCCACTGATATTTCCCAGTATGATCCACAAGAAGATGAATGCACAGAAAGGGTAAGTAAGCTACTCAGTCACACAGCAAGTAAGGGGCAGAGCTGGGATTTGAACCCAGGAAGGAAGTGGCTGTATCAAGATGCTATGCTGCTTCTCAGAGAACTTTCCAGTCAAAGTTGTCTGGCTGCCTCTGCCTCCTGTGGCTGCCCCAATCCTGTAACCAGCAGATGTCACAGCTCTGCCCGACTTCCCCCTGAGCTGAGTTCACTTGCCCTTGGACAGCTACAAGGTGGCCAGCCATCCCTGGAGCTGCCCCCTTTCCTGCCCTGTGCCCTGGGCAGAGGTAGCCTCGAGGTCCCCATGAGCCCTGATGTCCCCCGTGGCCAGACCCTTGGTCAGGAAGGTTCAGGCCAGGAGGGGTTGGTGCCTGGTTGCTCAGGAGGGTCAGAGGTCAAGGGAAGTCTGTGAGCAATCAGGCCCCCATCCCCAGGCAGAAAGCCTTTAAGGTCATCTCCCCAGATTCAGTCCAGGTCTTGTTCAAGGTCACACAGGGAGGTAGTGTCAGAGCCAGCTAGACCCACACTAGGAGTCCCCTCCCCACTCAGGAAACTGCCTCCTCTACCCATGAATGAGCCCCTCCCCCTCCTCTAGGTCTGGCTCAGAACCCGCCTTGGTCAGCAGCTGCCCCTGTTGGGCTCCAGGCCCGAGTCCCCCACCACCTGATGCCTCTGGGGAGTGTGTGCTGAACTGGGGTGACTCTTACCCTAGGAAGGCTGACCCCCAGGCCTGCTTCTTCCCAGAGCACCCTGAGCTCAGATGGCCTAGGAAGATGCACTGGCCAGGATGGCGCTTTCAGAGAGCCAAAGAGGGACACTCATCCCCCTCCAGCTCCACCTACTGCCCCCAGTCCTGCCCTTTGAACCAGTCTTCCTTGGCGTGAAGGCAGGGTCCTCTTTCAAAATGCAAATTTTCTTAGCAAAGAGGCTGGCCCATGGAGGAGGGGGCTACCCTGAGAGGCAGGAGAGGGAAGAGCAGGGTCACCCCTCCAGCGGTGGCCCCAGCAGGGTCACCCGGCTTCACACACACACACAGAAACACTCACCGCCGTCTGTCGTTGCCAACACTGCCATTTCCCCAGCCAGCGGGGGCCTGTCCCCACTACCCTTTTCCTGCTGCCTCTGCTTTGGGGAGAACGTCTGCCGTGTGGTGGCCGGGGACGACGTGGGGGCATTAAACATTAACAGTACCAGGTAATATTTACCCTGGTCACCAGAAAGCTGCAGTGTGGACGGAGGGCTCCCGCTGAGGCTCTGAGGCTCCAGGGGGAGGCTGGGGAGGCTGGCTCAGCTTCTAGCCCTCCCAGAGGAAGTTTCCAGAGAAGGGCCAGGCCAGGCCAGCCTTGGTGTTCTTCCACAGCGGGAGGAGCCACAGCTGGGGCGTGGGGGGGAAGGGGAAGTTTCAGACTGCTCAGCGTGCACTGTCCTTGGGAGCCCCCCAGCAGTGGCCACCTTCCCGGCCCAAGGACGCCACTGAGTTCTTAGAGCTTCCCTGTTGCTGAGGCTGGCTTTGAACTCACAATCCTCCTGCCTCAGCCTCCTGAGCCGCTGGGATGACAGTCATGCACCATGGTGCCCAGGAAGATGGCCCCTATTTCTTAGCATCAGGGCTTTCCCGAGTGGGTCCCGGTGTCGCACTCTCCCCTTCCCACTCTAGCCCTCAAGGACTCCCCTGAGCCAACCAGCAGCCCCAGCCTTGGACAGCTACAAGGTGGCCAGGCCTCGGCTGCCCTGGAAGGCTGTGCCCCGTGATATCTTTTCCATCCATTGAGGTTCCTCCGGCATGCATGCCTCAGTTGGAAGGCTCCAGCCATCCCTGACTGATGGTTCTTTCTCTGCTACCCTGATGCTTCCTTCCTCTACCATGAAACTCCTGCTCTCAAGCTGTCCCCATGCCACTTGTCCAGCACACACTGTCTCCTCCTTCAGGCAGGGGCCCCGGCTTGTCCGGCAACACTTTGCTTTATGGTTCACAGAGTGATTTCCTGGCTGGCAGCTCCTTGAGCTCTGCATGCGCCCAATTTTACAGATGAACGTGAACCTCGAGGTCGGAGCCTCACCCAAGGTCACACAGCCCTCAAGGGGCATGGGGAGATGGTTGGTCAGTCTTTGGTTTCAGGGGTCAGACACTTTCCCCACCCCTCCCAGGCTGTCCCCCCATGGCACGTGACCTTCTCCCCGAGGGCTCTGGGGCCGGGTTCTCCACTCCTGTGAGTTCTGACTGACTGCATCTGCCTCCAAAGAGGCTAATGCACAATGGAAGCCAAAGGGCCGAGGCAGGGGCCAGGGGCCTCCAGGGCCAGTAGAGTCCTTCTGAGGGCATGTGCTCCTGGAGCAGTGGCCAAGATTCGCACCCGGGTCCTCCCTTGGCTCATTGTGGGGCTCCTGTCCACCTGCTTGCCTCTCTGTGACTCGGCTCCTCATCCACACAGTGGGCATGGCCCCCACCACCTAGGGTGGCTGCCAGGCCCAGGTGAGAGCCTGAGCAGCAGAGGACCTGGCTCACAACAAGTGTCACTGCGGTCACTGCTGTGTTTGCATTGGGTGAGAAATGACGGGCTTTAACCTTCCGCTTAACATTTGCTGTTGGACACAGTAAAGCCGACACCCTCCATTGCAAATGAGCATGAGCCAGTGAGATGGGGAGAAGGTCATGATCCCACAGACCCCACTCAGAGCCCTTCTGCTTGCAGAGCCAAGTGACAAGTACTCATGAGACTATGACCAGAGCTTAGCGAGGGCGGACCACGGGCCAACCTCTTCCCAGGCACTGTCCCCATGGAATCCAAGTTAGCTCTGGTTGTACAGAGAAAGAATCCTTGGTCCCTGCGCCACCCCTGGAGGTGGCCAGGGCAGTGCTGTGACCCCCACTTGGCAGACCAGTTACCTCAGTGGATTTTGTTTATTTTTGTAAGCCATTGTGGATCTATTCTGGAATAATAAGGGATGAAAAAAATAGGTAGAAATTTTAACAGATGACTGACAGACAGACAGGCAGACAGAGTCGCGGAGCAGGCTGGTTGACAGATGCATTTCGGAACTCCTCCAGGCACTGTTCCAAACGCTTTATGGAAATTTACTCCTCAATCGGGGCTCTGCTGTCTAAGGTAGAGAAGGCCTTGCTATCATCCTGTTTTCTGGAGGAAGACCCTGAGACAGGAGTTCAGTGACTCTCCGGAGGGCAGGAAGCTGCGGGGGGGGGGGGGGGGGGGCCAAGATCTGAAGTCAGCCATCTGGCTTCTGGGTTCCTGCACGGGTGGATGGACAGACAGACAGCCTGAGGAGGAGGCGGCTGGACCAGACATTTTCCCAGCTCCGTGGCTCAGAGACGCTCTGTCCACACCACAGCAGACCCAGGACTCTGCACCTGGGTGCCTCTGTTTGGATATTGTCCCTCTCCTCACCTCTGCATTTCCTGTGCCTCTGGGGAGCTGCCTGGGGCATTTGAGTGATGGGGTGGCCTCCAAGTCAGAGCCTGAGGCCACAGGGAGGGACTAGGGCTTGGGGCACTCACCTGGGTACCACCTGTCCATGGCCGGAGCTGCAGGCTGTGGTCAAGGATGCAGGTGAAGTGCTGCGTCCTGGGGTCTGGATGGGAGGAGTGGCCTCCTCCCTCCCCCTGCGTCACCTGAGCCCACAGACAGGAAGAAGGGAGGCAGGAGGAGGGGCTGCCAAGGGAGCGCTCACCTTGTGCTCACCTGTCTGGGCAGGTTGGGGCACGGGATCCACGTGGGCTGGGGGAGATTCTCTGATTTCTACCTGGCGCGAGGAGGGCCAGCTGTGAGCGCCAGCAACGCCCACCTCAGCCCCACACTGCTCCCTTGTCCCGGGATCGTGATGGCACGGCTCGCCAGGAGGACACTGGCCAGCGCTGCTCCGGCCCTGGTCCTCAAGGGTGTGTGTGGGTCCCCTGAGCCTTTCTGGGGTGAGCAGGATGAGAGGCACCTTTATCCTCTGACCCTATTGGCCTTTGCCCTGATATCTCTCGCCTCCAGGTCTCATTTTGTTGCTAAGAAGCTCCTGAGACTGGATGGATTGGCAGTAGCCCGGGGGAAGTGCCCCTGATGAGGCAGGGGTGGTGTTCACTTGGTCCTGGGGGTGGAGGCAGTGGCCGCCTCCTGGGTCGTTAGTTGGGTAGCGAGTGGGAAACAGCTGGGGCCAGAGCTGCCCTTCCTCCACGGGGCTCCTCGCCCAGCCCCAGGGACTGGCGATGTGATGTCAGGTTGGGGTCTCAGACCTGCCGCCACACCTCAGAGGACTCCTCCAGAGGGGACTGCGCTTACCGAGGCCTCTTGGGCTCCCCTGGGTGCCAGAGGGGCACAGCCAGAAGGCAGCGCTTCTTGGGTTCTCAGGGCAGGGATGGAGCTGGGAGCCCACAGGGGAGACGCAGGCTGCCCACTCCCTGGCCACCGTGACGGGCCCAAGGCTAGCTGCCACAAGGAGCCTCTGTGCAGGCAGACCACAGGTCTCCCTCTGGCCCCTGCGGTCACCCTGGCGTGGCCGTCTTAGCACGGACACAGAGCAGCAGAGTCTAGGAGGTGCTGGGTCTGGTCACTCACAGCTGGCCTCTGTGTCCCTCCTTAGCAGCACTTCCTGCCCTGATGGGGGACTAGTGACCACAGGAAGCTGCCTGGGCTGGAAAACCCTCTGAAGTGGAGAGCGGGCTGCCTTGAGGGGGCTCCCTGGGGGGGCGAAGTTCGCAGGGGCAGCCGGCTCCAGGTCCTCCCACCCTTCCTGGTCTCCGCACCCCTGCCCAGTGGCCTTGTCATGTGTTCCCAGATGGAAACTGCATCAGAGCCCAGAGCTGTGAGTGGAAATTCCCCAACTGGGCCCCTGGAGAAGTGTCTAGGCCTCGGGGCTGGATGGGACGTTCAAGGTGGCCAGGTTCACACACTTTATCACTGGCCTAGAAAATTTTGTTGATCTGAGCTGTGCCCCTCTGCTCCCCGGAGTTCCCTCCCCAACCCAGATGCTGTGAACAAAGGTGTTGTGTCCCACAGAGGAGGGCTTCAAGGCCATCCCACCCAATCCCCTCACTTGAAAAAAATGGTTTGCTCTCCTGCTCAAAATCTGAGGGCTCAGAGTATACCCTGAAGTCCTTTGGTGTCCTAAGAGGCCCTTCTTACTGTCACTCCAGTGAGCCCTCTGAACATTCTCTCATCTCTCTATTCCAGCTTACTGGTCCCCTGGATGGTCCTTTGACCACCCAGAGCTCCATTCTGTCTCAGGACCTTTGCACAGGCTGTTTTCTTCCTGAGTACTGGTCCTCCAGTGAGCTTCCTGGCTAAACTCATGCTATCCTCAGGCCTTTCCTCCTGTACCTGACTCAGACCACCCTTCTTGGCATTGCTGTCTAAAATTCCCACGCCCTTCTCTGCAAAATACTACAAACCCCCTCCCAGCTGGCTTTTTTTGTGGGCAGCACTTATTTCTGACAAGTTAAACATTGTCCTTATCTGCTCTTTCTCCCAACTAGAATGTAAACCCCTGTGTGTGTGTGTGTGTGCTCATTCCTAGATCCCCAGTGCCTGGCACGGCACATAGTGGACCCTGAGTTTTTTAAATGAATGAGTCAGCTGCAGAGAGGGGAAGGGCATCCTGTGGGTGGTGCTGGGAGCCCAGGGCTAGGCAGCCTCCTCCCATCAGCCCGGTAGCTGCACTCTCCCCGACAGGCAGCTGTGGGCAAGGTCAGCACCCCAACCTTGCCCGCAGCTCCTCTGGGGCTTCGCTGTCACTCCTCTTGCCTCCTCTCCTGCCACCCCATCCCCCCACCATGGGCTCCTCCCGGAGCCTGGGAACCCGAATGATGTTGGCTGAGAGTGGCAGAGCTCCCACCCTCTCTCGTCACTCCAAGGCTTCTTCCTCATCCTCCCCCAGCTGGCCAAGGTCATCCTCAGGGCCTACTTTGCACTGGGGACAAGGAGCCTTCTCTGAGACATCCTACTGTCCTGCAGAGAGGGCCTGGCCCTTCCACCCCTGGACCATGTTACCTGAGGGCAGCCCAGGAACATCTCCTCCCACGTGTCTCTGCTTACAGAGGTGCCCAGACCCTCAGGGACTTAAATCCCCTTGCATCCTGACCCTGCGCTTTGGACTGCATGACACTGGGGAAGGACATCTCTTTGGTGTCCTTCTTGTCCCCTGCCGTCTGTAAAATGGGAAACCACCTACCTTGCAGGGTCGCTGTAGGAAGAGGTGATACAGATAAAGCGCTTGGCCAAAGAAGGTCGTGAGCCCCAGCTGGCCCCAGGGGACAAGGATACTCACTCCAGTCCCTTCGCCTGGCTCAGTCCAAGTGGTGACCTCTGCAGCAGGCTTCCTGGGAGCATCCTCCCCTTGCTGACCCCTGCCAGCCCCCATCACTGTCCCAACCTTCCTTGCCTCCCAGACAAACCAAGGTGACAGTTGTCCCCCGCTGGCTCTGGCCTCGGTTCTTGCTCTTGCGGGTTTCCTTGGGGTGTTGGGACCAGCTGGGGTGGAGACACCCCTGTGCTGCAGTCCCAGCCAGGCTCCAGAGCAGGCAGAGACCTCCCCTGCCGTTCTTTGCTTGTTTCAAGCTGGAGGGACAATCCAGCTGTGCCCACCTGGAGGGGTGGTCTCACCCCTGGATCCCTCTTTCAGCACCATCATGCCAAATGGGACACTGACTTCAGCTATTAGCCTCAGTCTCCTCTGTCTCCCCCAAGCAGCACCCTCCACCCATGCCCTGACTCTGAAGTCTCAGCAGCAGCCTGGGGTGGGAGTAACAACTGGGACGTCCAGCTGACCTTGGTCTCCCTGGTGCTCAATTGAACCACCAGCGCAGAGGCCTTCCCAAAGACAGGACTCGCCAGTCCCACCTGCCCTGGGCTTTGCAGGGTCTGCATGTCAGAGTCCCCAGCCTTGAACTCTAGGCCCCCAGATCAATCCCTCTTGGTTTTGGCTCACAGCTGAATGGGGCTTTGAGGGGGCAGGAGCTAGAAACCCCTGCAAAGCTCCGACCCCTGGCTCCCATTCATCCACAGGTGCGTGGCGTGCGTGCCTACTGCGCAGGAATGGTGGTGGCTCTTCTAGGCAACATTTGTGACACGCTGGCTCCTGTCACCTGCTTTGCCTACAGATGCCAGCTCACTGGGGTCTTATATGGTGGGGCTGGGAGGAAGGAGGTGGGCCTCAAAGGGTCCGTTCCTTAAGTGTTGGCTTCAAGATGGCCCCAACTATGGGGCACAGAGGTCCTGGGAGCTGCCAAAGGGCAATGTACTCTAGAGTCAAAGTCACTGGCTGGTGACAAGGTCAAACCCATTCCACCCGCCTCCCCCACAGCGAATACCCTGGAGAGAAATGCATTCTTGACTTTCCTCAGAACTCATGCCTGGCGTTCACCTGGAACCAAGGCCATTGCTCGGCAGTGGCCCTTCCCTCTAGAAGCCCTCCTTCCCCGTCCCCTCCAGCAAGCCTTCCCCTCACCGCCTTCCCTGCCTCCACCGCCTCTGGAACCCGCAGACCGGACTCCAACAGCTCGCCTGTGGCTTTGCGGTCACTCTTTTCATTTATTGCACAAATCGCAGAGTCTCTCTGGCTCTGGGAGGGCTGGATCGTGGTTATCGGTTCATCCTTCCTATCTTTACAGAACCCAGCTTTCCTGACATAGCAACAATCCCATCCCTGTCCTGGTTCCAGAGAATTCCAAAGATCTGCTTTGCTCTTCCCGACAACTCATCTAGGCAACCTTTGTGGCTGCTATTAACAGGGGGTGGGAACTGCAGGGGAGATGGGCCAAGGATGACGCTGGACCCACATCTAACAGACAGGAGGCCCTGCTGGCAGGGAGAGAGGAGATAAGCAGCCGATGGTGATGTTGGATTGATAACGTGATACCCGCAGGTGGGATTTTCAAAGTGTTTTTATGTCACAGACTCATTTGACCCAGGGAGGGAACAAGAAGCAGATGAATCCACTTTGCTGCTGAGAACACTGAGGCTCCGTGACCTTCCAGAGCCACACAGCTAGCAGGAGGCCCTGCCTAGCCTGTGGAGGAAGATCCGCTCACTGCAGGAAAAAACTGACAGGCGAGGCTCCCGGGGTTCCAGGAGAGAGGGGCAGGTGAGCCCAGGGGCAGGAGCCCACCCCCCAGCCCCGCCACACCGAGCCCTTCAAGACATCTGGTCCCAGCATCCCCTGCCTGCTGTCCCTGCCTTGGCAGCTGCCCACGGGGCTGGGGCCGGCTCCATAAAATCAATAGTTGGTTGGCTTGAGCTGGCTGAGTCTGCCCCCCGGAGCTCAGGTGTGACGGCAATGAATCTCGCTAATGGCAGGAGGTGACCGTTCCTTCTCTTTGTGGCCTGGAGACAGGTATTTCCAAAGCTCCTGCCCTGGCTCAGGCAAACACACATGACCTCTCTTTTCTTTCCTGGGCCCTGGGTAAAGCAGAGTAGCCAGGGACAAAGTGGGGTGAACCAGACAGAGCTGGAGAGCTCCCTCCCACCTCGTCCTGCCAGTGCCCCTGCCAGCCTGGGATCCCGGCCGGCACAGCCCTCCCTCCCTGGAGGAGGGGACAAGTGTCTGGTGACCTTGGGGTATGTGTCAGCCTGGCATCCCCTTCCCCACCTGCCCTCCCTGCTGCTGGCACACTGCCTCAGCCTCTTCCGAGAACAATCTGGCAAGTTCTAAAATCTACAAACTGCAAAAAACCCAGAGAGATGGGAGGGCCCCAGCCCCTGAAGGCCCACGAGGCAAACTGACCTGTTTTAATAGTGGTGTTAAATACCTCCACAGGGAATAGCTGGAAGGAGTCACTGAGACGAGGGGACTTGGCGTCCATTTCTGGGAAGTGGCACCTCATGGTATGGCAACTCTCCCATTCAGCCAAGTTACCTTTGCCACATCAAACCAAGTCTCAAGTAGAAGCCGACTTTTGTGCTTGGAGGCTGGGAGAATGCAGGTTGGGTCCTTCCCAGGGGGTGAGTTACAGTGCAGATGTGAGTTCTTTTCCTTTCTTTATTTTACATTTCACATAGCAGAAAAAAAAATTATTTATTTTTTTAGTTATACGGACAGACTGTATTTTGACATTTCATACATATATAGAGTATAACTTCCCATTCTTGTGGTTGCACATGATGTGGAGTCACACTGGCCGCGTCTTCATATGTGAACATGGCAAAGTTATCTCTGACTCATTCTACTGTCCTTCCCAATCCCATCCCCTTCCTTCCCACCACTATCCCCTTTCCAATCCAGTGAACCTCCACTTCTTCTTCCCCTCTGCCTATTGTGAGTCAGCATCCACATATCAGAGAGAACATCTGGCCTTTAATTCTTTGGTATTGGCTTATTTCGCTTAGCATAATATTCTCCAGTTCCATCCCTTTACCGGCAAATGCCATAATTTCATTCTTCTTTATGTGTGAGCAATATTCCATTGTATATACATACCACATTTTCTTTATCCATTCATCTATTGAAGGGCACCTTGGTTGGTTCCACGGTTTAGCTATTGTGAATTAAGCTAGTATAAACATTGATGTGGCTGAGTCACTATAGTATGCTGATTTTAAGTCCTTTGGGTATATGCTGAGGAATGGGATAGCTGGGTCAAATGGTGGTCCCATTCCCAGTTTTCTGAGGAATCTCCATATTGCTTTCCAGAGTGGTTGCACCAATTTGCAGTCCCACCAGCAATGTATTTGTGCACCTTTTTGCCAACATCCTCACCAACATTTATTGTGGTTTGTATTCTTGATAATTGCTATTCTGACTGGAGTGAGATGGAATCTCAGTGTAGTTTTAATTTGAATTTCTCTAATTGCTAGAGATGTTGAACATTTTTACATCTATTTGTTGATGAGTGTATTTTTTCTTCTGTGAAGTGTCTCTTCAGTTCCTTTGCCCATTTATTGACTGGGCTATTTGGGGTTTTGTTTGTTTGTTTAAAGTTTTTTGAGTGCTTTATATATCTGGGATTAATGCTGTATCTGAGGTGCATGTGGTAAAGATTTTCTCCCATTCTGTAGGCTCTCTCTTCATGTTCTTTTTTTTTTTTTTTTGCTGTAAAGAAGCTTTTTAGTTTGATGTAATACCATTTATTGATTCTTGATTTTACTCCTTGTGCTTTTGGAATCTTTTTGAAGAATTCAGTTCCTAAGCCAACATGATATAGACTTGGGCCTACTTTTTCAATTAGACACAGGGTCTCTGGTCTAATTCCTAGGTCCTTATTCCACTTAGAGTTGAGTTTTGTGCATGGTGAGAGATAGGGGTTAAATTTAATTTTGCTACATATGGATCCCCAGATCTCCAGTTTTCCCAGCACCATTTGTTGAAGAGATCATCTTTTCTCCAATGTATGTTTATGGCACCTTTGTCAAGTAAGAGATAACTGTATTTATGTGGTTTTGTCTCTGTGTCTTCTGTACCACTGGTCTTCATTTCTGTTGTGGTGCCAATTCCATGCTGTTTTTGTTATTAAACTCTGTAGTATAGTTTGAGGTCTGTATCTTGACGCTTCCTGCTTCACTTTTCTCGCTGAGAATTGCTTTGGCTATTCTGGGCCTCTTGTTTTTCCAAATAAATTTCATGACTGCTTTTTCTATTTCTATGAAGAATGTCATCAGAACCTTAATAGGAATTCCATTAAGTCTGTATAGCACTTTTGGTAGTCTGGCCATTTTGATAATATTAATTCTGTTTATCCAAGAACATGGGAGATCTTTCCATCTTCTAAGTTCTTCTTCAAAGTCTTTCCTTAGAGTGCTGTAGTTTTCATTGTAGAAGTCTTTCACCTCTTTTTGGTAGACTGATTCCCAAATATTTTATTTTGTTTGAATGGGATCATTTTCCTAATTTCTCTCTCAGTTGATTCATCACTGATAGATAGGAATACCATTGATTTATGGGTGTTAATTTTATATCCTGCTACTTTGCTGAATTCATTTATGAGTTCTTGAAGTTTTTTGATGGAGTTTTTTGGATCTTCTAAATATAGAACCATGTCATCAGCAAATAGGCATAGTTTGAGTTCTTCTTTTCCTATTTGTATCCCTTTAATTTCTTTCTTCTGACTAATTGCTCTGGCGAGGGTTTTCAGGACTATGTTGAACAGAAGTGGTGAAAGAGGGCATCCCTGTCTTCTTCTAGGTTTTAGAGGGAATGCTTTAATTTTTCTCCATTTAGAACAATATTGGCCTTGGGTTTGGCATATATAGATTTTACAATGTTGAGGTATGTTCCTACTATCCTTAATTTTTCTAGTGTTTTGAGCGTGAAAGTATGCAATGAACTTTCCAAATGCTTTTTCCGTGTCTATTGAAATAATCATGTGATTCTTGTCTTTAAGTCTATTTATGTGACGATTGATTTATGTATGTTGGACCAGCCTTGCATCCCTGGTATGAACCCAACTTGATCATGGTGCACTATCTTTTTAGTGTTTTTTAATGTGATTTGCCAGTCTTTTGTTAAGAATTTTTGCATTATGTTCATCAGGGATATTGGTCTGAGATTTTCTTTCCTTGATGTGTCTTTGTCTGGTTTTGCTATCAGGTTGATATTAGCTTCATAGAATGAGTTGGAAGGGTTCCCTCCTTTTATATATCATGGAATAATTTGAGGAGGGTAGGTGTTAGTTCTTCTTTGAAGGTCTGGTATAACTTGGCTGAGACTCACTCTGGTCCTCGGCTTTTCTTTCTTGGTCAACTTTTGATGATGTCTTCAATTTCATTGAAATTGATCTGTTTAAATTTTCTCTGTCCTCCTGATTCAGTTTGGGCAGGTCATATGTCTTTACAAATTTGTCAATATCCTCAAGATTTTCTACTTTATTAGAGTATAAATTTTCAAAATAGTTTCTGATTATCATCTGTATTTCATAAGTGTCCATTGTGACATTTTCTTTTTCATCGTGAATTTTAGTAATCTGAGTTTTCTATCTCTTTGTTCAATTGGCCAAGGATCTATCAGTTTTATTTAGTTTTTCAAAGAAACAACTTTTTGTTTTATTGATTTTTTGGATTGTTTCTTTGTTTCAATTTCATTGATTTCAGATCTGATTTTAATTATTTCCTATCTTCTACTGCTTTGGGTGTTGATTTGTTCTTTTTTTCTAGGTCTTTGGGATGTAATGTTAGGTTATTTATTTGTTGACTTTCTATTATTTTAATGAATGAGCTCAATGCAATGAACTTTCCTCTTAGCACTACCTTCACAGTGTCCCAGAGATTCTGATATGTTATATCACTATTCTCATTTACCTCTAAGTATTTTTTAATTCCATCCCTGATTTCTTCTGCTCTCCATTTGTCATTCAAGAGCATATTATTTTGTCTCCATGTGTTAAAGTAGCTTCTATTTTTTTAATTCTTAATTTTTTCTTTAGTTGTAGAAATGCCTTTATTTTATTTATTTATTTTTATGTGGTGCTAAGGATCGAAGCCAGTGCCTCACATGTGCTAGGCAAGTACTCTACCACTGAGCTACAGCCCCAGTCCAGTAGCTTCTATTTTTTATCACTGATTTCTAATTTCATTACATTATGATCTGATAGAATGCAAGGTATTATCTCTATTTGTTTGTATTTGCTAAGAGTTGCTTTGTGGCCTATTTTAGAGAATGATTCATGTGCTGATAGAAGAAAGTATATTCAATCATTGATATTTTTGTATTTTTGGAGTCCTGTAAACCTCCTATATTTAATTTTCCATTTCATTCTTTAGGTAAATTTTCTGGTATTATTTCATTGAAAAGGCTGTGCATTCCTTCTGTTTGTATCTCCAAGTCTTCATCTGTCCCAATAAATCTTAAATTTGGTCTTTTCAGGTTATCCCATGTTTCTTGGAAGTTCTGTTCATGGTCTCTTAACATCTTTTCTCCACGGTCAACTTTGTTTTCAAGATTACGTATTTTGTCTTCATTGCCTGAGCCTCTGTCTTCCAAGTGGTCTAGCCTGTTGGTGATGCTTCCCAGTGAATTCTTAATTTGGCTGATTTCTTCATTTTCAGGATTCCTGCTTGATTTTTTAAGAATCTCTCTCTTTATTGAAGTGATCTTTGACTTTCTCTAATTGCTCTCTGATTTCACTCCTTATATCGTCTTTTATCTCACAGATCATTTTAACTATATAAATTGTAAACTCCTTCTCTGACATTTCTCCCACTGTGGTGTCAATGGATTCTGTTATTGAAGTATTTTTGGTTGATTTGGGTGATTTGTTCCCTTGCTTTTTCATGTTGTTACTGTGTCTACCCATCTAACAGTATGGATCTGAGGCAGTAGAGTTTCTACTCTGTGGACTTACAGTTTCCCTGAAGGTTTCCAGTACCTCACTGTTTAGGGGGAGACAGATAATAAAAACAACCAATGCAAACAATATAAAGCATTAAACCAAGTAGTTCCCAATATGAAGTCTACAATGTTAATTATCACGATAAACAGAAATGATAGATCAGTTATTGCCTATAATAAAAACAGCAAGTTTGCAAAAGGGTTTACAGTTTCAAATGGTGGACAGGGAGAGAACGGAATGATATAGAATGATGATTATGAGGGAGGAGAGAAGGTAGATGTAAAAAATTAAAGGAAGAGTGAAAGAACAATAGAGATTAGCTGTTAGCAGAAGAAAAGAAAGAAAGAGAATTGAGGAAAACAGGTGAGAGAAAAAAAAATATCAATGTAAAGTTAAAGAATTCTTTCAGATGGACCAGGGAAAGGAAAAATTGTGCTCTATATGTGTACTAGAAATTGAAATGCATTCTGCTGTCATGTATAACAAATTAGAATAAATAAATAAATTTAAACAAGATTTTGAAAAAAAGAATTCTTTCAGTTGGATTTCAAAAGATTCTCAGCTTCTCAACAACGTTCGGTGGGGTCATCTGGAGCGAGATGCTCCACCCTCTGGATTGCTGGAGTGGGAGAGGTAATCCTGTAGGTGGAATTCCTGGAGGCAGGGGTTAGGCCTAAGTGGGCTCCAGGCTCTTTGCGGAATGCCAATTGGTCTGGAGATTTTAAATCAGCGTACCTCCAGGACCCAGCAATTGATGGTCCACACTGGAAGACTGTACCCCGGGGACCTCCCCTGGTTTCCACTTGTGTGGTGGAGCCAATGTTTAGTCCAGTAGGTCACCTGTAGACCCCACATTTCCTGGTCTCAGCTTCAGCCTCCAAACTCAATCTCTCCTGCACCACTCCCTTTCCAATTCAGGCCAGACACGTCTCTCCCAGCGGTCCTGCCAGCAGGGAGAAGGAGAGCTGGGGGTTTCCATGACCAGGTGTCCCCTGCGTAAACCTCTCTCCACGTCTGATTTTCTCCCGGTCACCTAAGCACACACTCTATGTGCAGTGTGGATTTGCTGGGGCCTGTATTTCAGGCCAAACTTCGGTTTGCCAGGAATTGGCCCCCTCCGCTGCTGGCTCCTGTGCCATGGCTGCAAAATGGTTCCTTCCTCTGTCTTCCACATGCCACCTGGAGAGATGGGGGCTTCTTTCACACAAGAATATCTCAGTGTGTCTTTCAGTTCTGCCGGGCAGTGTCTGTGATCTCCTAAACTCTCGGTACCCAGACACACCTGTGGCTTCCTAAAACATGCAGGTTCCTTTGATTCCGTTTCCATCTACTTTGCTGGCCCAGGGACTCCTCTGGCCTGTGCCTCTGGCCTCAGCAGTGGCTGTAGTGCTGGAGATTTCTCCTTAAGTCCCAAATCTGCTTTGAATGTCCAGTTTTAAATTCCAGTAAAGTCCCACCCCCTTTTTTTGGTTCACCCACCTTGCAAAGACGCTGCCTGTCTGCTTTCTCGGTTTCATGTCATGGAGGAAAGCAACCCTCTCTATTCAGCCATCCTCAAAGTCTCCAGATGTGAGTTCTAAGTGAGTTGGTCCACGTGAAATCTAGCCCAGCATGTGATAAGTGCTCAGTAAACGTGTTATGACTTTATTATTATCATTTTGATTTGTGTTTTTGCTCTTTATGTGTCTTATGTCACCACATGGACCTCCATAGCACAGTCCAGCTCGTTCATGCCCCGAAGGGACAGCCATGTTGCAGATGGGGGCCACATGAACCATCAGATCACCCCTTCCTTCACACAAATGCCAGTTCCTCCGGAAGAAGCCGGTGTCACACAGCACTATGGACACAGCCTGGGGTCTACTCTAGTTCCTCTATCTGCCAGCTGCACGGCCTGGACCAGTCTCAAATATGTACATCAGAGAGAATCTGCAAAATCAGCAGAAAATCATCAGGGACTGTCCTGCTGTCAGAATAAGGCTGGGTTCCCAGGAGAACTAACTGGCCAAGTTTGTACAAGTCATCCCACATCTGCTAGTCACAACCCCCATTGAACTTCCTTAAACTCATTTTGTAGTTTTTGTTTTTAATACGGCCTGAGGGAGGCTTCTGTAATCTGTTGAGCACAGGGCCTGTGAGGGTCTCGGTGGCTGCGCTCTGAAATGCTGCAGACCCATGAACTCCCATCCCCAGTATTTCATGAGGTGCAGTCATTAGCTTGTTGATCAAGTCTACCTGGGACCAAGGATACTTTTCGCTGCCATGATCACTGGTCTGACAAACTTAACTTTGATCTCAACTATAAGCCTCAGTCTCCTCAGCAACCTGAGGGGTGGAGAGTGGATATAAAATCAGGACAGGGCAAGGCCCCAAGCAGGTTCAGGGGAGGCCAGGGAGTAGCTAGGCCTGGCCAAGTCCCTCACAACTGTTCCTTGAGGTTCTGTGGCTCTAAACAGCTCACGGAATTCAGACAGAGGCTATGAGGGCGAGTGAGCACCTGGTCAATGCACTGTGACACCTTTCTCCTCGGAGGCTGTGCGTAACACAGGTCCTGCCATGGGATGCAGCCTGAGCCCAGTGACCTGGGAGCAGGTGGGGAGGAAGAGGAAGAGAGAGGCAGAGACTAGAGAGGGACCACCTGTCAAAGCAGCTGAAGTAGCCCCCCTCTCCCTGGCTGGCTCTCCAGCCTTGGCTTCCTCCCCTGAGCAAGGTCAGTCTCCCTGCAGCCCTTGAAGTTCCACAGCCCTACACATACTCAAGTTCTTTCTCAGAAAGGGAAGCACCTCAGAGCCACTAGGAAACAACGATGTGTTTTATTTATCTCTTTCTGTTGAGAGGACAGATCACAAGACAGAGAACAGCAGTCCTGGTCACGCATCAAGGTTTGGTTAGTTTCCACAAATGCAATGGATGGGTGGGGCAGGGTCTGGCCGAGTTCCACTCTTATGACCTTCAACTTCTTGCCATGGCTCTCCAGCAGGGCTTCGTGGAGCCCTGCTGCGTCTCCAAACTGCAACACAGCTGTGGCCTCACACATCACTCCAACACTCACACTCCAGTCAACAGGCAGAGGAAGGACAAAGGAGCTGCCCCTGCTCCCCGGACAAGGGGACCTGGGCAGAGAAGCAAAGACCTCCCACTCTCCCCGTTGTCCATCCCATCTCCACAAGCTGGCCCCAGCAGAACAGGCCTCCCTCAGCTGTCACCTGCCAGTGACCCAACTCCAGGATGAGAGTCTGAGCCCAGACTGAAATCTGAGAAGCAGGTTAGATGGGACAGAGTGAGAGGTTCCAGAGCCCCTGGGTTATTGCTGAGAAGATATGCAAGGGGCACATTCCCCAGGGATGGAATAGAAGCCCTGGGCCTGGAATCCCTGGGTACTCTGCAAAGGGGCAGGCAGATGGGGCTCCATGGTGCAGGACCCAAGAGGAAAGAGGCCATGGAAGGGCGGAGGCCGCCTGACAGCAACCTTGGCTCACCAGCAACTTCTTCCCACCTCCAATAGCTAAGAGGCCTTCCAGGCACTCGGGTCAGGGTGGAATATGGGAGTGAGGTTCTCGCGAAAGGACTGAAGAGTGGGTGAGGAGCAATGATAGAAAACTTCTCCAGCCCAGGAGAGTTGGGAGCTGGGGACTCCTGCCCGGGCACCTACTCTACCCTCATCCCTAAATCAGGAGGAGGGATTGGGCTCCCAGGGGAAAAGCAAACTCCAGGAAGCAGGAGAGGATGCAGAGCCACGGGGAGGCAGGGAGGAGCCGATGGCAATGGCTCAGCCCCTACCCGGGAAAGCGAGTCTACAGATCACGAATATGATACCAGCCACCAACAAGTAGCCACGAAGATCAAGTCGACAAGACACGTGCGCGCACACACACACACACACACACACACACTAGGTGGGGACCACAGGCTGCAGGTGGGGAAGCCAGGGTTAGTTGCATCATGATGTAGAGGACCGGGGTTAGTGGGCACAGGAAGGGCACAAGGGACACACACAAGTTCTTGGCTTCTCCTGGGGAAGGGTCTGTTGTGGGGGTGGCTGCTTTCTGAAGCATCGCCATCTGCATCTGAAGGTTGGAGCAGCTGCCTTCAGGTTCCGGAGGCTGAGAATGGACAGAATTAAATGAAAATAGAGCTCTGGCTCCTTCACCTGCCCCCTCCCACCTCAGCGCAGCCCCCTTGCCCATTGAAATTTCGGAAATGACATTCCTTCCAAGCTCTACTCTCCAATGAAGCCAGGTCAGGCCTGAGAGGCTGGGAAAGGGGTGAAGGCACCAGAGGGGCTGGTTCTCCCAGGGGACGGCAGCTGGTCAATGGGGAAGGCAAACCCCAACACCTGGGACTCCCCCTTCAGTGGCTCATGGCCTAAGGCTTGGGAGAAAAGGGGTTTTGAGAAAGACCTGGAAGACGGAAGTGGGGGGGCAGAACATTCCATTCTGAGGCCGCCTCCTTTGAGCCTTCCCGCCCTGTCCCCACCCTCAGTGTGCCCAGCCAGCTGTGAGGAAGAGGACAGAACACCAAGCTCTGGGGTGGACTCCTGCCTCCTGAGCTGTGCACTCTGACCTTCCCCAGCTTAGGCAGCCACCTGCCTTCAAGAGCCCCATCCTGAAGATGGGTGTAAGGCTCTGCCTGCCACGGGCTGTTGGGAGGGTGCACTAACACTTAGGAAAGGAGTCACAGCAGCCCACAGGAGCTCCGGGTAACAATCGCGGGCAGCGTAGCAGAAATCTCTTTGAACCTGGAGTTTAGGACAAAGTTATGAGCTTGTCTGTTACGGCTTGTTTGTACAGGGAGGGGAGGGCACTAGTGAACTGGGAGAAGACGGGCTTTTTTGCCCTGGGATATTCCAGGGTCCGCCAGGAAGGGACACAGACGGGACAGAGGGTGCGGCGGGATGGCTTTAACCTACAGCCACAGAGACCCATGTAAAGGTCTGGCCTGGTCCCCTTCTATCCAAATGGGTATTTTCTGTGATCTCAGTTTTTCATCCACAAAATGGGGTCAGCCCCACGTGTCCTGTTCAATTCTGGTGGCTCCAGGGAGCCCGTGTGTGTGGCTGGCCCTGAAGACTGGAAAGCAGTTGCCAGTCACGACCTTCCCTCAGGTGTCTCCCCGAGGAGCAACAGAAATGGCTGCTGAAGCAATGCAGGAAAGTGGTGTCCCTTAATGTGGAGAAGTGACAATGCCAGCCTAGGGGCTGTGGTCACATACTATTAGACCTACTTTTGAGGAGGGCTAGAAAATTTCATAATAAAATGATTTTTATTTTTGTATTTTTTTCCTCTGTTCTTTTTAGATACACACGAGAAGAGAGTGCACTCTGACACCTGATGACGTACCCGGAGCACAGTTATTCTAACCAGGACCCCATTCTTGAGGTTGGACATCACAGTAAACTGTTTGGTTTTTGACTCATCATTGGAGGCCATTATCTTAATGCTACCCTGATATGGGAGTGTTTCCAAGTTGTGCCTGGGTGGCAGCCGCGCTGGTGCCCTAGGAGGCCGGGCGCGGGCCAGGTGGAAGCACGACTCCCCGTGCTCACTGAGTGCAGGTGGGGACACCTTGGTGTGTCACGGATTGGACTGTCCTGTTGTCCTTTTCATACCTCGGGAAGAGCTCCTCGGAGCAGGAACTGTCCACTGGAAAAGCTAGCCCAGTACTCCTGCCTCACGGCCCTGCCCAGCTCAGTGAGGACAGGGATGGGGACAGGGATGGGGACAGTGGAGGACCCGGGCACAGAGCAGCTCACCTTCCCTCGGGAGGCTGCTCCTCAGTTCTCTGCTTTCTGGGGCTCCGCTGCTGGAAAGAAAAACAGACAGATGGGGTGAAGGACCCCCTCCGGAGGGCAACCCCTGCAGAAGGGGCGCCTGTGTCCCACACGTGGGAGTCCCAGTCACACAGAGTGGGTGTGATTTCCTGCTCTGCTACTTGCTGGTTAGGGGAACCTGGGCCCCTAGACCTGGGCCGTAGGACGTGGTAGTGGGGCCTACCTCCTGGGGCTACGTGCACTTATGTGAGATGACGTCTGTGCCCGACAAGAAGCAGGTGCTCTGTAAATAGCAACTGTCACTAGCAGTGGCCTGTTTGGTGCAGGTAAAGGAGCAATGTCACAGAGTCCTCTCCTGGCACTGTGGGAGCTTGTCTGGAGGGCCCTCAGGCCATGGGTCCTAGCAATAGTCCCTCCTGGGCCACACAACAACCCTCTCCTGTCCCCTCTGTTCCACTGGGCAGGTGGTCATGGACAGTTACCGTTTGCAGTGATGAGGTTCTCCACCTGGGCTTCCTCGTCCCCTGGAGCCCTGTGGAAAAGAGACACAGAGCCCCATCAGAGGTCTCCAGGCAAACCCAGGAGCATCATCACGCTGCTTGCTGGAGCAGGGCCACCTGGGACCTGTCCCTCCAAGTCCTCTGAGCACTCTCTACGGGGTGGAGGGAAGATGGGACTGAAAAGCACAGAGTCAGAAAGAACTTACAGGCACCCTTCAGCCTCAGTCCCCAAGAGAAGTAAGTACTAGGAGGGGTGGCCCAGGGCCAGGGGGGCTTACGTGTGCCCTGCCACAGAATCTGGGCTTCTGAGAACCAGAGCTGCCCTTGGACAGGTTGGGAGTTTTGTGGGAAGACAGGAAGGCCCCATGTCCATGCAGCTCACGGAGCCTTACAGAGAGGTGAGCGGCAGGGACAGAGTCTTGGGTCCTGTAGAAAGGACCTGGGACTCAAGAGAGACCACGAGGCCCTCTTCTTCCCTTGTCCCGAGCCCAGCTATTCCAGAGGGCAATAGTCAATAGTTTCCAGCACCTTCTATCCCACCCCTGCTCCCCCATATAAGTCACTGGCTGAGCGTCAAGGTTTTGGCCTCTTTTTTGCCCCTAAGTCAACTGTAATTATCAAATTGATATCCGTACACCCTCCCGCACATACTCTCCTTCCAGACAAGAGTCCAGGAGAATACCCGTTGAGGTCATACACCAGGGATCCCTCCCTGTCCCTCCTAGTGTCATCCCAGATGGCCACGGGTGTGGCATCCTTACCGGGGCTTCTGATTGAAACTGCACTTGCACCTGCGACCTGAAAGGCAAAGAAATCATCCAAGGTCACGGTCCTGGCCTGGCCACGCCACAGTAGAGCTGCCCTGAGGCCATACAGGATGCAGGACTATGTTCATGGTCCCTAGACTTGGGCAGTGCACCTTGAACAGCTGTATGCTGAAACCCTAGACTGGAGCAGGGTTCCTCGGAGGCCATGGTTGTACGTTCCACAGCTAGAACGTGGCCACACCACCACCGTGCACTTGACTGTGGACCTGCGAGGGCACTGTGCAGACCAGGCTTGTGTGGAAAAAAAACAAACACAGGGCCATGTCCCTTGGAGCCCACTGGGGACAGCACCTGTCTCCTTTCTCCTGTGACTGTCCTGCTCATGCCCAATGGATACAGGACTGGGACAGCCACCCTGCCCATTCTTATCTATGCTTATATTCACCTACATAGTCTTTGTTCATGCTTAACTATTTTACTGAGCACTTACTTTGTGCCCAGACCCATGCCCAGCTCTGTATTAGGTCCTGGAGATGAGGTGGAGGCCAGAGTCAGAAAGGCCAGGCCTTATGCTGTTCCCACCTGCTTAGCAGCCACAGAAAACAAGAAATGAACTTACTTAGGATAAGAAGGATCCCAACCGAGAAGAGGACCACAGCAAACACCAATCCTCCGATCCTCAGGGTCTGGTAGTCTGCCAAAGGAACCAGGGGTGAGAGAGGGAGAAGAGGCAGGGCACCAGAGCATGCCTGTCCCTCCCTGGATGGGACTGCGCCTCACTCCCCCTCCCTACACCCAGGGTTGCTGAGGCTGCTCACCATAATGAAAAGGGTCCTTTTCTTTCTCCTGCTCAGCTGCTGCAAAAGTAAACAGACATGGTCAAGACAGCTGCACACGCTGGACTGCCTTGTCTTAACTCACAGATCTCAGTCCCCACAGAGATTCCTGGGAATGACATACTGGGGATGCGTGAGTGGAGGGCCTGCTGGGGTCAAGGCCAACCTGAGGGCCAAGGCCAGGTACAGCTCAGAGCTGGTGAGCCCTGCATTTAGACTTCTTCTTTTTCTTCTTCTTCTTCTTTCCCCCCTTGCATCATTCCCCAAAGGTAGGGTCGGTCATCCTTTTGTGACAGAGGGGGAAACTGAGACCAAGGAATAAGGCCAGAACTGGTTAGTTATGGTCCAGATCCTACAGGCATGTTTTTAAGGTTCAGCCCAAAAGTCCTGAGGTGGCTCTGAGGGCTTAAAAGAAAGCAGGTTCAGCTGGACCTGTGAGGGGAAGAGGTGGACAAGGCGGTGACAGTCTGTGAGAATCTGTCTTTCCCAGACTTTCTCTGCTGACTAAAAAGACGAGCCTCTGATTAAACATGAGGGATCTGAGAGCCCTCCTACCCTCAGGTCCCAAAAGACCAGAATCTTCCATGAGAAGGAGCTACGGCTGCCATCTTAGCAGAACCAACCCCTAGATGGTACTTACCACTGGCCAGGACTGTGGGAGCCAGCAGGCTGCACAGAAAGATCAGCACTACCTCCATGGCGTCTGGGGACAGAGGGAGGAAGATATTATTCCCTAGACTGGAGAAGACCCTCCAACCATCAACCTGATCCAGGGTGAGTCAAATCCACAGTTGTCTTCTGAGCTCTCAAGACCTGGGAGAGTTCAAACCACCTAGGCTGAAGCAGTTAATATGTATCTGACTCTCACAGAATGCTCTGCATGCACTGATTCAATTAATATAACTGAATTAGAACAATTAGCAGCTACTACGACTAACCCATGCTCCAGGCCAAGCACCTGAGGCTCACAGAGGTTAAGTGACACTCAGAGTCTCGGTGGAGAGCTGAGGGAACTGAGTAACTCCTCCGCTGCCCCCAGGGCCAACGCGGTAACATCACCAGGACTATGAAGAGGATCTCATCAGTGTGCTCCTCTCAGGCCACCCTTCTGTGGCTATCCCTCGTTCATTAAGATGTGGGCCTCCCTGGTCTGGTTCCCACACCCAACAACCCCGTTCAGAAATTCTTGTTTATAACAGAATAGAGGGGGCGGTACATCAATGTCCCTCTTGCCCAGCCAGCAGGTAGGGCAGGAGATTTACTGTTCCCTGGACCTTCTGGTAAGCCCTGCCCCGTGGACAGTCCTCCTGACCCTTCCTGCCTCTCCTCTGATAAGTCCAAGTTCAAAATCTTCCCCAAAGGTGGCTTGATTGTCAAAGGGGATTTGGAGACTGGCCTCTCCTTCACCAGGAGGTTCAGAAAGCTCTGCTCAGGGGCTCATTGAGTCCTGGCCTGGCCTCTGGTAGGTGGCCCCAGGATGGGCCACCTGGGCAGAGGCAGAGAGAGGGCCAGTTGGTCCCACCCAGGTACAGATTTCAGTAGTCACACTCCTCAATTAAATGATGGTGGTGCAGAGTCAGAGAAAAGGGGAAGGAACCCGACTCGGGAAGGCCCAAGGTTGTTTGCTCTTTTCCATGTGGGGCGAGACTGGCGGTGGGCTGAATCCCTGGCTTCTGTTTGCTCTGAGTGTAAGTCACCCATGACTTTCCCCAGGTCCCCATCAAGCACCCCTACCTGCCCTTCACTTCTCAGCCACCAGGGGTCAGCACAGCACATCCAGAGCCCTGTCAAGGCCAAGGCCCTAGACTCGGAGAAGGTGATTCAAAGTGCATTTATCAAAAAGCGATCATTTGCTTGTAAAGCTATCTCACTTCATATTTATATTTCTTTTAAAGTTTACATTATATGTTACATGTATAAAAATATCTGTAGCACACTTATACAATGAAACATAGTATTAAGGTAAACACCCATAAACAAGTTAAGTTCGGAACAAGAACATTGCAAATTCTGCTCTATTTACCTATATTTTCCCCCAACCCATCCCCCTGTCTCCCTCTCAGAGGTAATCAGTATCCTGAATTTCACATATATTTGTTGTTTTTAATTTTGTCCTTGTTCTTCTATTTTAAAAAGCTGCTAATCAGCAAGATTTCAGTTCTGCATGATGAATATGTTCTAGAGATCTGCTGTACATTTTTAATACAGTATTGTACACCTAGAAATGTTAAGTGTTCTTACTCCAATAAAAATACATAATTGGCATACTATGAAATTCACACTTAGAGTGTACAACCCAGTGGTTTTTAATATAGTCACAGGGTTGTGCACCCACCACCACCATTTAGTTACATCCCCACAGAAACACTATACCCCATTAACAGTCACTCCCATTCCTCTTTCCCCAAGATCCTGACCCCATTAGTCTAAAACAACGGTAGACACATATGCACACACAAATGCGCGCATACACATGCGTGTGTCTTACTATTGATTTCAAATGGAGTTCTTCAAATGTTTTGAAAATTCCCCTCTAATCTTTCCAGGATGTTTCTGATTTATATTAATTATAACTGCGGGTTCTATACATATGGTTTTTCTCTTTAATCTATCCAAAACTGTGAGCTAAATAAACCTTCATATTTTTTAATATTTATTTTTTAGTTATAGGTGAACACATATTTTTATTTTATTTTCATGTGGTGCTGAGGATCGAACCCACGGTCTCACACGTGCTAGGTGAGCACTCTACTGCTGAGCCACAATTCCAACCCCTAAGCCTTCATTACCTGGTGTCAAGTAGTTTGTCATAGAAACAAAAGAGCCTAAGACAGTATGGTGGTACTGGTCTCATGAACAAGTATTAGCTCTCTTGTCAATCCCTGGAAGTCTGAAGAAGATTGGAATAATCTAGGTTTAGTATTTTCTTTGTAGGAAGATTTAAATGCCTAATCAATTAATTCACAGTTGTGAATATACCTTTGGATATTTATCTTTTCTTGAATACATTTACTATCCAGATACATTTAGTATGAATTTGCCCTTTTTGCTATAAAACTTATTGTTACAAAGTTGTTCATGGTATTTTTCTTGTGGCTATTTTAATTTCTGTTGGATCTGTGGCCACTTCCTTTTTTTTTCATTCTTAATATTTCTTGTGACAATTCCTTTTTTTATAGATCAGTCTCACCAGAATATTAATCTTTTCAAAGAAATTAATCTTTATTGTATGTTTAAATTTTTTCTTAATTCTGCCCTCCTATATTCTTTGGTTTTATTCTATTTTGATGTTGTTCCTATTGTTATCGTCTTAGTAGGACATCTAGTTCGCTTTTCTCATTTTCTAATTTAAGCATTAAGATGATAAATTTTCCTCCAAGTGACACTTTCACTCTACCATATAAGCTTGAAAATATGGTGTTTTTTTAAATGACTGTTCAATTTTTTGTACTTTAACTTTCCATTATAATTTTTTCACTATAATTTCTTATTTGACCCGTGCATTATTAAGAAGTATTTTTTTAATGTCCACATGGAGAGTCATTTTTAATTTGCTTTTATTACTGACTTCTAACTTCAGGGCACCATAGTCAAAGAATGTGGTCTGTATGACAGATGCCTTCAACTGTGGTCACTTACTAAAAATACACATTCCATGGATTCTTAGGAAATTGTGAATATCTTCACTGTTGGGAAGGAAGTTCTATATGCTCATTAAATTAAGTTCCTGGGCTGGATTGTAGCTCAGTGGTAGAAAGCAGTTGCCTAACCTATGCTAGGCCTGTAGTTTGATCCACACAAATATCTCTCTCTCTCTCTCTCACACACACACACACACACACACACTCACACACACAATTAAGACCATTAACTGCTTATTTAAATTTCTATTTTTTCATGATTTTGACTGTTTAATATCCAAAATTGAAATAGGTGCCTTAAAATCTACCACAATGAGAAAGGATTTATAAATTTATCCCTGTGCTTCTTAACAGAATTCTAACAGTTTAAAGTTGTTTTATTATCTTGTGATTGGGTCTTTTAGGATTATATAGCAATTCTGTCTTAAAATCTACTTTGTTTTCTACCTTTCTAGGGACTTATGTGTTGTGTAAAAAAAAAAAGCTGCTTTTTTTTCTTTCTTGTAAATAGAACCTGATGGACTTTAATAATTGTCAGATTAGCTTCATTTGCTGTAACTATTGATATATTTGGACTGATTTTTGCCATTTATTTGTCCCCTAATTTTCTAGTAATTACTTCTATTTTCCTTTTCTTTCTTTTGGATTGATTTTTTTTTTCTTATTCACATTTTCTCTTGACTGGTTTAGAAACTGTACAACCTATTTCTGACCTTTTAGTGGTTGCCTTTGGAATTTCACCTGTGTAGTCAACTTATCAAAGATTTAGAAGTCCAAAGGTAATAGCTATAATAATTATTAGGCATAATACCTTGAAAAATACAAAACTACCAATCACCCTTCCTGATATGTATGCTAATATTGCATAATATTTGCTTTGTTCTTTAAAAATCCTATAAAGTAGGTCTTAGCATTTGTACTTTGTGAGAGTAGTATCTCAATCCACCCACGGTGCAGCAGACAGTTCTCAGGATGGCCCCCAGTGCCTCCTGGCATATGGTTCTCATCAGCTCCCCCACCCTGCTCCATGGGTGGCCTATGTGACCTAGAGCACGGTAGAAGGAATGGCATGCTGCTCCCAGTACCAGTCAGGTTGTAAACGCCCCCACCCCACCACCACATCTTCCCCTTCCCTCTCCCACATCCCTCAGATTGCTCATTCTGGGGAAAGCCGGTTGCCATCTTATGGACACTCAGACAACCCTGTGGAGGGGCCCGAGTAGCAAAGAATCAAGGGCCTCCGTCCAAAAACTTGCTAGAAAACTAGGCCCACCATGAACCACGAAGTGAGCTTGGAAGTAGATTCTCCAGGCTTCAGGCAACTGCCTCGCTGGCTGACAGGTGACTGCAACCTCTTTAACCTGAGCCAGAACCGCCCAGCTCAGTTTCTTTGATCCCCAGAAACCGTGTGAAATAACCAATGTTTATTACCCAAAGTGGCTGAGTTTGGGGTAATTTATTATGGAGCAGTAGATAATCAATGTAACATATTTACTAAATGATTTGTTGGCCATTCTTTCTGAATCTCAACCATCCTCCAAACTATTTTCCTTATTTCTAAAGATCATCTTTTAGAATCTTCTTTTAAAAAGACTATTTGTTAAAAAGACAAAAAAAAAAAAAAGACTATTTGTTGAAAAAGCCTCTTTTTTCTGTATCTAGAAATGTTTTCATTTCACCTCTGGGGTGGACAGACCTTAAGGGGATCCTCAAACATCCCAACCTGCTAACATCCAACCGTTGTGTGAACTACCCCTCTTGAATACACACAGGAGAGGCAACTTGCTTCTCACAACAGGATATGGCAAAGGGGATGGGAAACCACTCAAATGGTGGCATTGTGTTCCACAAGACTGGACCAGAGAACTGGAGCCAGAGAACGTTCTCCCTTGTTAGTTTGAAAAAGTAAGCTGTCATGTGTGAGGGGCCTCTGGAGAGGAGCACACTGCAAGGAATTGTGGGATGTCCCTAGCAGCTGTGAGCAGCCCTGAGCCAACAGTCAGCAAGAAAAGAGGGACCTCTGTCCTCTGCTGCAGAGAGATGAATTCAGTCAGCCACCTGCAGGAGGCTGGAAGCAGAGCTTTCCCCAGTCAGTCCCTGCATTGAGCAACCCCAGCCAACACCAAGACTGCAGCTCAGTGGACTTTGAGCAGAGAAGCCGGCTAAGCTGTCCTGAACTTCCAAACAAAGAAACCATGTGATAATAAATGTGATGTTTTTAAGCTTCTAAATGTGGAGCAATTTGTTATGCAGCAATAGAAAACAAATGCACTTCTAGCCCCGAAAGGCAGTTTGGCCATGTACGTGATTCCAAAAAAAATCTTTTTTTGCTCTGCACTTTGTAGATGATATTCCATTGCTTCCTGGTTTTCATTATCACTATTGAGAAGTCTGCTGTTCATTCTCATTCCTTTATAATCATTCTATCTTTGTTCTGCCTCATTTTAATTTCTTGTCGTATTTATGATGTTCTGGGTTTCACTAAAGTCTAAATGTTGACTCATTTCTATATTGTCTGTGTGTTCCCTATTCCTGTAGTCATCCTTTTCACCAACTAGTTAAAAAACAAAACCAAACACTTCTCAACTCTCAATCATTGTCCCTTGAGCTACTACCTCTCCTCCGTTCTATTTTCTGACACTATAATCAGGACTATGGGGGTGCAGAGCGGCTTGGTGGTTGGCTGGAGTAGCATCGTTCTTCTGCTGGGGGGCTATGATCTTCACTGGGCAGCAGCTCACCACACTGGGCAGAAGAGCAGCTTAATATTTTGGCATTGGGTAAGAGAAAATGGCCTGAACCAAAGAGACCACTGGTAAGTCCCCTGGTGGTAAACCCACCTCCTACACTGCAAACAGCTGGCCCCCAAGGCTGCCAGGAAAAGCACTTCCTCTACCTGAGGGTGAAGAAACCTCAAGGCTACAGGCCTGGGACCGTGTCATTGTTTCCAGAAATGAACCAATTTTCTCATCCATGTTGCCTTTCCAGAGGCTGGTAAGAGAGGTCCTCCAGGATTTCAAAACCAACTTGAAGCTTCAGAGTGCAGCTACTGGTGCCCTTTGGGAGGCCACCAAAGCAGACCTGGTGGGCCTGTTTGAAGATACTAATGTGCGTGCCATCCACACTGAAAGTACCACCATGCCCAAAGACATCCAGTTGGCTCACCAGATAACAGGAGAGAGAGCTTAGGTGAAGGCCTTAAGTCATCCAGCTTTCACTCAGGATGAACACAAAAAGTGACTTTTCACAGACCTCACTGACGTGAGCTCTGCTGCTCCCGGAGTGACAAGTTGCTAACAAGCAGAATGTGGTCTTTCTTTTTCTCATGACACATGCTTTTGTATGTTAATGACTTGTTGGGTAGCTATTAAGGTACTAGAATTGATAAATGTATACAGGGTCCTTCAGCAATAAATAACTTGGAAAAAATGGAAATGTGCTTACACATTCTCATTCTATTTTCTATATCACTTAACAGGGCTTTCAGTTTTCGCTTCTTGGCTTCTCTGTTACGTTCTGAGTAGCTGTTTCAGATTTGTTTTCCATTTTTGTTTCTCCTTTTAACTGTTGAATCTGCTGTTTAATGTATCCATCTCATTTTCTGTTTCGGTGATCACATTCTTTATGTCTAAATGTCCTATTTGGTTCTTTTAAAGTTGTTTGGTCATTTGGTTAGTCTTTGTGGCCTATACATTTTTACGATCTCATTTTTTAAATTTCTTTCAACATTTCCTACATATTCTATATCCTATATCTGATAATTCCAAAATCTTAAATCCTTGGGGGTCTAAATCACTGTTATTTCTCTGCCTTTCAAACAGTGACGTCTTGTTGTTTCTTTTTGTGCTCAGTAATCTTTGATTTTGAACTCATGGTTGCTAGATTTTAATATATGGGAAACCAATAGCTTTAAAATGAGATGTTTTCCTCCAGCAAGTTTGTTTTGCTTTTTTTGTGAACACTAAGAGTGTCAGATACCAACCTGAGGCCATTTATCCCCTCTCCAAGGTCCTGGGCTTAATGTAGCAATCTCAGGTGTGGCTTCCCAACCTTGCTGGGCCCAGTGACTATTAGTCTCCAGAGAGCAATTGTGTCGATTAGCATTCACTCTAACAGCAAAAGTGCTTCAATTCTGTTTGCACTTTACGTATTTTACTGTTAGTTTTATAACGCAGGTTTTTAGTTTTTTGGTTTTGGTTTAGTTTTTGACCTTTCAGATAGTTTAGTCCATGGAGAGGTGACTGATGAGTGGATATTTCCCTTCCTTCTTGTTCTGTAGTAACAAATCTGAGATCGATTGTTTTATAGTGGAAAGTTCCTTCAATGATTCAGGCAATCTTTGTCCTAAATACATTTTTCAAAGTATGGCATAAAATAAGTTTTGTGCATCTGCTATGAATAAAAAATCGATGTCTATTTCTATTTATTTCCTTCAAAAAATTTATTTTTGGTTAAGTTACTGCTACTTCCCAGACCAAATCCCATCTTAAATTGCAAATTTAAATTACATCAGTTCTATGTTCACTCAGTGGGGAGAATGGGCCCTGGACCTAGAGAATGGAACCTACACAGTAGAATCCCTCCAATCCCAGGGGGCTTGGCATGACTGTTGCATTTGAAGTACCAGCGGGAAGGACACATGGGCTGGGCCTCCCAGCTCTAGCTAGCACAGGGATCATTAGTCAGGTAGGATCAATCCTCCTCCTGGAGTAGAAGAGGCACATGTCAAGGAGTCCAGGCAACTTGGCAGCTCAGGCCACTGCTGTGCCTCCCCTCAGCCCCCCAAATTCACCTCCACAGATGCTCAGGTCCAAGTCAATCCCACAGTCACTGAATTCCCGGAAGGGGGTACATAGGTGAAGGAGATTCAGCCTTAGCTTCCAAAGTAAGGCAGGGTTTGGCAGCCAGGGGCTCTCTGACCCATCAGCAAATGTGAGGAGAATTTCCTGAGAGATTGAAGCTACTTACAGTTAAAGTCGGGGGGACAGGGGGAAGGGAAGCAGGGAGTACAACTAGGAACCTGGGAGGCTTCTGTGGGGAGCTGACATTTCCATTTAATCTTGAGAGCAGCCTAGGATTTTGATAGAGGCAGAGAGGGGAAGTGGAAAGAAGTGATGACAAATAGTACTCAGGTCAAGTTGAGTTCAAGTTGAACCTCAAGGCACGTCACTGCCTAAAGGGGCTTCCCCAGAGGGCTCTTCAGCAGGAGAGGGCTTCACCCCTGGTAAGGTCTACATGGCACAGGAGGGGGCTGTGGCAGCAGCCCACCAGGTGTTTGCCATTTCTAGAAAAAGCCGGCTTAAGTAAAGCACGGCAGATGGTTTGGAGAGACTCCTGATAAGATGGCTGGAATCAGACAGTGGAAAATCACCCAGGCCAAGCTAAAGAGTGAAGACCTGTCTTTGTGCTCGGAAGAAAACATTTCTGATGAAGTCACAGTGTGCTGAAAGAAACAGTCACAGATCTGAACTGTGACCAATGCTCTACTCCAAGCTGCTGCGGGGGCTTGGGCTACACCAGCCACCCCCCAGCACAGGTCTCCTCTGGGTGCCTCTTGGCCCCAAACCCATTCTGAAAAATCTCATCAGTGATACAGCTGGCATTGGCCCAGAGTGGCATGGCCAAGAACATCCACAGAGTCTCTGAGGGAACACAGAGTGCCTTTGTCTCATTGCTGAAGCAAGAAACTCTATCTCAGCTTCCCCTCCCTCCCTCCCCAGCAGGCCCCCCCCATCCCCTCCACACCCACCCCAGCTCCCACACATTCCTTTCTCCCTTCTTCCAGGGAGGAAGCTGGGCAGTGGGTGGGGAGGTTAAGAGGTGATGGAAGTGACATCATTTCCAGGCCACAGAGTTCAAGGATATGGCAGAGGGGGATGGAAAAGCAAGGCAGAATTGGATGGAGCTGGGAGAGGGGGTTCAGGAACATTCCATGAGTTTCTATGGGCATGTTAGGGCAAGGGCCTCCTTGTTTTAAGGCCCTGGGCCCTGCCTAGGGCCCTAAGGACCTGACTGGCTGGGAAAGGAGAGCTGAGAAGCCATCACTGCGGGAGCAGGGGACTCCCAGCCTATCACTCTCCTTCAACTCCTAGACCATGGGGACCATGCTCTTGTTTGGAAAACGGACTGGTTTCCTCTGCAGCATACTGTGAGAAAGGATTTGGCCTGCACTCATGTCTCTTCCTCCATGTCCTCATGCATCTGCTCTGGGAAACAGCTGACACCTCGGGCAGCAGCAAAGCTTCCACGTTAATTCCCCTCTCCCATCGTCCTGCCGTTTGCAGGGTCGCCTGCTGCACGTGTGGGAGACGGCAATCAGAAGAGCTTCTCCGGCGATTATCTTTCTATACCGAGTCACGTAATTTCACTTAATTGCTGGGTAAACGTGGCTCGGAAAGAGAAGCCCCTGGTCGATGATATATCAACATGCTATATTATTTCTGATTCCACGCAGCAGCGAGGTAGATCAGAATACCCGATTCTATTGTGAAAATAACTCAGAAACAACCTCCCTATAAAAGGCAAAGGCTCTAAATTACAGTGAAACTTCATTATCCCACTCTCACAGCTCCCCCCACCTGGCTCCCCTGGATCCCAAAGCGTCACTTGCACTCCCTTCCTTCTGGCCTGCTTGGCCTCCTGCAGCTCAGCCCATGGACAACAGGTCCTGGGATCACTGTGGCCTGGATCCTCATGGGATGCCCCAAAGAGAGATGGGAGGGCCCACTTCAGATAGTGCACACCCAAAGGGACCCTTTTATGGTCATAGAATGCCTGGGCCCCATAGCTTAGGCTAGCTGGGTATACGGCTTGTCCTGTGATGTCTCTGCATCTTTGCAACAAAGACACTGTTAAAAGAAGATCTGACTGTGTATAAATAGAATAGAACCAAGATGTGAGGTTTACCAGAGAGAGAGAGAAGGTACTTGATCTATCCAGCAGTTAGGGGCACGGCCTGCCTCAGAGCACTCGCCCCCAGTCCTGTCTGCTGCTTTGATGTGTTGAGGTCTAGAGGCGGCAGACCAGGGCTGGAGAGCAGCAGGGGAAGGCCCAGCAATGCCAGAGGTTACCCAGGAACCGGGTTAGAAGACAAGGCCCTGCAGGAATGAGTGTGGCCAGGGCAAAGAGTGACAGGAAAGAAACAATCCACAGGCTCCTTTGACTGGAAGGTGACCTTGGATTAGAGATGCAAGGGGGCAGTGCGGCCTTGGGGCAGCAAGAGATGGCATCCGGCTAGAAGGCAGGGCCCCAGCTCCTCCGCTCCCTCACCCAGGAAGCAAGGCTGGGGAGGCTTAAAAGCCCCTGGGTCACTCCCTTGTCTCTGAAAAATCTTGCTTAACACAAAGGAATGAAACCAGCCTCCCACTGTCCTTCCCAAACAGTGAGACTTCCTAATGTCTTAGGAACAGACTCCGCCTCCCTGCCAGTACATCTGGCCAGTCCCTCTGCCACAGCTCTTAGTCCTGGGCTGCTCTGTTGGCATCACACTGGCCTCACGCTGTTCCCATCCACGCTACAGAACAGTCACCTGCAGAGAGCTCACCCACGCCCTGCGGCTGGGATTACAGCAAAGGCCTCTTCCCATCATCCATTCGCTCCCCTGTGTGACAGACTTACCATCACTGAACCCACTTTCCAGGGAAAGAAACTGAGGCAGCAAAAGCAAATGAGTGCTGAGTTCCAGACTTTAACCTTGCTCTGCCTGCCTCCCTGTCGGAGGAGGGAGGGTGGTCTGCAGTTATAAGCATGTAGCCAGCCTGCCAGTCCCCAGATCAACAGGGGAGGGCTCCCACCCATTCAGTGGTGAAGCATCACCATGGGCCACCTGCACTATGGCTCTTTCAAGGACCCACTTCCCCTCAGTAGTTTCCATGTGGCCCTTGCTCCTACCCTGGTCCAGCAGGAGGAGGGCGCACGACTCAGGGCCGGAGGGAGTCAGAGAGCTCTGTAAAGTCAGCCACAGGAAAGGGCTCTTGTCTCTGGGTGAATGCCCACCAGCCAAGCCCATAGCCTCTCCAGACCCTGAGCGCGGGCTTATGTCCCCTCCTGGATGGGTAACTTTTACTCAGGAGAGTGAGTTTTCTGAACAGACCACACTGTGCGGCTGACTCAGTTGGTCCATTCTCTCATCCACTTCCCAAGGCCATTATGAAGGTCAAGTGAGCTGACCCAGGTGAAGGTTCTTTGTAAACTGTAAAGCACTGTGACCACAATACACATCATTTATGGGGCTCTCATCGTGCCAATGCTGTTCTAAGTGGTCTACTTATGTCCACTCCTGCAGTCCTTACAGTAGCCCCAGATCACTATCATGATTATTCCCACTGGACAGACGGGCAAACTGACTCCAGTAAGGGTCAGTCACTTTCCTAGAGTCTGGAGCTGGAAAGTAGCAGAACCCAAATTCCAACTCAAGAGCCCTGGCCCTGGAGTCCCTGCTCTGAATCACTCCTGCCTCTCTGCTGCGCAGTGGTTTTGTGGCCTCAGCAAGTTGGTTGACCTTTCTGAGCCTTTGCTTCTGCAAATGTGAGTGATACTAATGTGCTTCTCATGGCCTGTGAGGGTCACATGGGGAGGCCTTGTGGGTGCAGTTATTGCCTGTCCATCACCCCTGTCCGGTGGCCAGCATCTCCTGATGGAAGGGAGCCTGCTCCTGCCCTCCACCCCAAACCCAGGTCTGCTGCAGGCTGCCACCTGCATGCCTTCCCGGTAGCTAAAAGGAGTGGGTGAGAGACTTCAGTGTCCCCATCTGGGGTTGTCACACTGGAACCTAGGAAGGAAGGGTCAAAGCAGCCAAGCCAAGAAATGCCACTGCAGAGGGTCTATGCGTGGACCAGCCTCCAGCAGTAGCAGGTGACAGCTGCCCAGGAGGGACAGGGAGAGGGTCCTCTGGCACCTGCCCTTCCTGCAGAGTGGCCCTGTGAACTGCTATCCCCTGCCTTGCCTCAATGAGTTCGTCACTGCCACTTGTAACAAAGAGAAACAAGGGGTGGAAAGAACCGAGTTCAGAGGCCAGGGAAAGGCCCAGTTCCCTCCTGGTCCTCCTTGCCTTTCCTGTAACCATGGGGAGGTTCCAGTGTCCTGAACCAACACAGGGGACAGAGCGGGCCTCAGCCCATGGCCCATGCAGGCTCCCGTGACCACTGCCTTCTCCTGCTGCAAGATCAACAGCCCACATGATCCGGGGCCACACGCAGGTGGCATCGGCAGAGTGGTGCAACTAACTGGGAGAGCCAGGGAATAGCAACACTGGTCAAGAACTAGGGGAGTCCCCTCAAGGATATGCAGAAGCAAAACAGCAAAACAAAACAAAATGGAGAGGGTGTGATGTACAGCGAAGTAGGAAATCCCAGAGGAAGAGAAACTGAAAGGCGGAGAGGCCAGAGAGAAGTGGAAGAGGGACAGGCAGAGGGGACAGAGGCTGGA